ATTGGGATCTAACTTTTAACTGGACCAGCGATACCACCCTTGGGTTTCTAACTTATTTGGCTTTTGCCCATGGCTTTATACCCCAGGGTTTACTCTTAGGTTTCTAACCTATTTAGCTTTCGCCAATGGTTTTATACCTTGAGTTTAGTCGGAACCTTTGGGTTTCTAACCTATTTGGCTTTTGCCAGTTTTTACCTTGGGTTTAATCAATACCCTTGGGTTTCTAACCTATTTTGGTTGGCTCCTATTCTGCCATCCAACGAATTGCGTGACAAATGTTTCGGCCAGTTTTTTGAAGGAGAAAATTGATTTTCTTCTTAATTGTCGAAACCAGACACGAGCAGTGCTCGTTAAAGTAAAAGAGAACACTCTGCACTTGATTGCTTCTGTCATTCCGTAGAGATCCATCCATTCTCTATTCACGTCCAAATGGTCAAAAGGATCTGTAAGCCGTCGTATTGCTTTATAGCAGGGAGTTTGAACTTTGGAGGGACCTTTTCTCTCATTATTTCTTCCACGGATGGGGAATCTGTTTGCTCGATAATCTCCTCAAGATCGTATCTTCTGTCTTTTCATTTTTTACTACCTTTCTGTGATCTTTCCGTATGCTCATGTCGGCTAAGCGAGTTTTCTTTATGTAGTGTGGTGTTCTTAAGGCCTGGTCGGGTTTCCCGTCGATGGTAAGTATCATTCTGTGGTTTGTCGTTCCCTCTCATTACCAATTTACTCCGTGCCAATGGGTTGTTCGTCGACTCCTTCGCGTCTCCACTCGTGGGAGCTTTGCCTTTTCATGGATCTCGTACCAATGCTGGTGGACTCTCCTCTTGTTGCTCAAGTCTCTCAAGAATGAGAAACATGTTTCGGTTCACTCTTGGAATCTTCTTTTCTGAAGTAGCCCATTTGTTTTCCTGTCGTTCAGGAATTTCTGTCTGTTGCTCTTTTTGCTCTGGAATCTATCGCCTTGTATCACCCAAGGTCTACTCGGGAAATTGTTGACCTGTTTCACCCTCGGCTGTCTCGGGTAAAGGCAACCTCCTAATTGTATGACGTTCGTTGCCAGCATGTTGTGGTCTATTTCCAGAATTCATGTCGATTTGCTTCTCTCAGGATCGGTCCTAGATTTTGTCGATTCGCTTCACCCTAGACCTTCTCGGATCCTGAGCAGCTCTCGGTCGACTTGTTGATCGTCTTGACTTCTGGATCTGAATTGTCCCTTCTTGGATCCGAGCGGTCCTTGGTATCCGAGCAGTTCTCGATCGACTTGTTGATCGTCTCGACTTTTGGATCTGAATCGTCCCTTCTCGGGTTTGAGCAGTTCTTGGTCGACTTGTTGATCGTCTCAACTTTTGGATCTGAATCGTCCCTACAGACGATGCCAATTGTTGATGCGTGAATTATGCTCTCCCGGTTCCTTCCGAGGTTTGCGCCAAACTTTATAATCAGGGGACAGAGAACCTACAAACCAATCAAACCTAAACTGGTGTGACTCTAGTCACACGGGCTCCGATGCCTAAGTTAGCAAGAAAAGTAGATGGATAATAGAATTAGAATGTAGAGAGTAGGGTGTTTTTTTTGCATACCTCTAGGGTTTGGCTCCCCCTTCCATTTATAGAAGTCGAGTTCTAATTCCTTTAGGGTTTACCCCAGTCGAATCCTCACACATCTCAATATTCGGGCCCGCTTATTCGTTGTGGGATTCAGGTCGAATCGAGATTAAGGCGGGACACTTCGAGTGGGACTGCGAAACAGTCGGGATGAACCGCTATAGTTCTCGGTCGGGGGGTTGGAAACTGCTTGGCACCGAGGAGGCCTCGATGTCGAGGCATGGTCGGCACTGAGCAGACCACTGGTCGGCACTGAGCAGACCACTGGTCGGCCAGGGGCCAACCCAAGTCGTCAGGTGCCAGCCCTCCTTTCCTGGTTCGTGCTTTCTCTCGGGTTTCCTTCGGCCCCCGTCGCTTGGTCTCTTCTTTTTTTATCTCCCCATAACATATACATGTAGAAACATGTATAGGTTGACATGTTGGAAAATTAGCTTTTCTTTGTTAAATTCCTGATCTTAGCCTAGGAAACAAGGAAGGATATCCATTCAAATTCAAAATAAAGCAATTTCTAGTACGTTGTTGTTTTACAATGACGATAAACACGGCACAGGAACAAACTATACCACATGCTTGCATATATTTACTAAAGCATGTTTTCTCTCATGTATAATCATATACATTGATATGAATCTCCAACATACACGAAACAAATACAAGTCCGATGCAAGTTAGCTCAATTCTCTTCTATTTCAAAGTCAAGTCGAACATTTTTCAATCTCATAAAAAAAATTAAAAGAAGTCAAAATTAGGTCAAAACTATTAAATTTAGATTTATGGATGAGAATGTGATTTTTTGTTTGTGAAAACTATTGAAACTATTAAATCAAGGCTTTTTGTTTGTTTGTCTTTTAATTTGTGGCAAGTTATGTCTTTACATTTGCAAGTATTTTCGTTTCTTATAAGTCATTGAGTCTTTTTTTTTCACAAAGGAAGTTACAAATCTTTTAGTTTGATAGCCTAGCTAGTTATAAGATGTTACATTTACTTTAGGACTCTTCATATGGTTGATAGATTGACTATATAAATCATTAAACTTGCCATTTATAGTCAGATTTGGAAATCTGAAGATGTAATAAATATGAGTATTTAAGCTTTTCTTTTTGCCAATATACTTTACAATCTTGTGACAGTTTGCATGTTTACAATCATTCAAGTTAGACTTGATCTATCTTGCTTGTCGAGTGGTTTTAAACCTCAATCAAGGAATAATTTTTCTTGTCTTGAGTATTTCATCAACAAGATAATCTATTCAAACTCATTTCTTTGATTGAAATCAAATCGTATTTGGGGTTTTAGCATTTGTGATGATCTAGGGGTTTGCATAACCACAAGGGTTTTGAGATCCAATTGGCTAGGATTTGTATGCCCTAAAACCTCGTAATTAGTAGATATTTTATTATTTATTGAAAAAATAATTATTTGATTAGTTTGATTGTATGCAATATTTATTATACATTTTTATGAAGATTGAAGATTATATCGTAAACTTGAATAGTATGTAGTTGACATATAGTAGGATCGTATTCAAGTTATAACCTAAAGTGTCTATAATATATGGATAAGATTAGTGTCCTATTCTGGTAACACTATTGATACAACTTTTTAAATGTTATAGATAATTTTATCGAAATTATTTATGTGAAGACATGTGAATGATGGTATCATATATAATGAGTTTGCATAAGACGTGATCGCAAAATATTTAATCTTTCTTTGTAAATCTCTTAAAAGATAAAATAAATATTTCACAGGATGATCATATGTGACTTGATCTTAATTCTAAGTGATTTATGAACTTCTATTTGTGGGAGGAAATGTCATTTGTTTAACATGGGTTAGAGTGGCTTTTTCAATAAGCCTACTATTTTGGGACGTGACTAAACAGGGAGTTGGGAACATAATCTCACAAGATGGAATTTACTCCTTCCTATACAGGGTAAGTAGATTTCTTTTTTTTTTTCTTTGAGGAAAATAGGATAAGTAGGTTAGTAGTTCTAAGTGTTGATTTAGGGACTTGAACAATGAGACTTCACTCTCTCACTAGTCCGAGAGGGACTTAGTCTATAGGTTGACCATAAATAGATTGTTCATTAGAGGATCTGTGATACTTAACGTATAAGATGTGATTACAAGAGTAAAACGAGTTTTTGACCTAGCTATAATTTCGAACAATTCTTGAAGGGTCGACTTGCATATAGTGATTATATCCATACACATAACATGTGTGCAGTGCATAAGAGTTCAACACTAAATTTATTGTGAAGCAATCTTGGGTTAATGAATGAAAATTAATTTATTTTGTATCATTGGATAAGGTCCCCTTGCTAGCTCAAATATTAATGGACCAATTATGTTGAAATAAATTTGAAATTGAAATTTTCAAATCCATATTTAATGTATGCAAATATGGATTTGAAAGGAAATAATGAGTTAATATGTTTGATACATTAAAAGGAAAATTTATATTTTATTAATATATAAGATATACTAAGAAAATATTTATTTTAACGAGATTCAAATAATATAAAATTTTAATATTTGAGATATTAAGATATTATTTGACTAAAGATTTATATCCTATTTGGTACCTAAAAATATATTTTATTAATATATAAGATATACTAATAAAATAATTATTTGAATAAGACTCAAATAATATAAAATTGTGTTAACATGAATATAACTCAGCGGTAATTGATACTTACTCCTTTCCTTGACATCAAAGTTCGAATTAAATTTTAATATCTGAAATATTAAAAGATTTTATTTGGTTAAGGATACTACCTAATTAATAAATGTATTTGAAACATTAAAAAGAAAAATTATTATTTTATTAATATATAAGATATACTAATAAAATACTTATTTGAGTGAAAATAAAATAATATAAAACTTTAATATACGAGATATTAAAACATTCTATCCTTAGCTTCTACAAATAAAAATCTAGATAAGTCAAATAGGCACACTTTGTAAGAGAATTCTCTCTAACTTATTCTCCAGTCCTAAAGAAAAAACTTTCCTTGGTTTCTTTCAAGGGGACTCCCACCAAGGTTGGTCCATTGTTTGAGACTTTGAGTAATAGTAAAGAAGGTCTAGTGGAGCATCAATTGATAGGATTCTATACAAAGACATCAATTGACACATGACAGACGATAATTCACCTCGGACACTTACAATTGACATAAAATTAAAGTAATCACACAAAATAACAAATTTGGGTTAAAAGTTTTAAAATCCCAAAAAAGAAAAGTCAAAAGTAAACTTAAATGGATGGCAAAAAAGGCAGCAAGTTCCCGGAAGGGCGTCTAAGCAAAAAAGTGGTGGCAGTTCATAGCTTCCATTTCCCTTCCTCCTCACTTGGAACTTGAAAGTAAAGCCCTTCCCCGGTCACCCATTCCCTTCCAAAATATTTTATACCAAAAATCCTTCATTTCCATTCCCCCATTTGATTAAGACTCTCAAATTCAAGGTCAAAAAGTATATACAATACATATTGTGTACATGGAGGAATCATCCACCTTGGATGGGCCCCGCTCTTCAATCAACGGCCCTGATTCACTTCCCTCACCCTCTGAAAGTCCTCGCAGCCCGCTGCTTCTTCTCCTCATAAATCCATTATAACCCATTTCCAGTTTCGCCTCTCTCTCTAGAGATTTGGGAGCAGCCATCGTTGAGTGAGGAGGTTGATTTGATTGAAGAGGGTCTGAGCAAGAAATCGCGAATCGGTGAATTTCCCTGATTATCTTCTTAATTGGATTTTGTTTCTGTTTGGCTATTTTTTCAGTTTATGGGTGTTTGTTTCTGTTCTTCGTCTTGTATTGATTGATTAGAGAGTTTCTGTTTGCTGCAATTTGGAGACTATGATGGGTTTCTGGTCTGATTGGAAGAGGAGGGTTTGATTTTTGAACCTTAATCTGGAGAGTGAGATTTGTGTTCTTGATTTAGATTTCTTAAAGTGGACTTCTATGGTGAATCAATAGAATGAAGGGGATTAATGGAAGATTTTGAGAGGAGGAACATGACTTAATTTAGGGATTTAAGTATGAGATGGGATGTTCTGATTTTTCCTCTTTTTTTGGAAAAGTTGACTTTCTTTCTGATCAGTTCATTCTTTTTTTTTTTTCCTCCCATTTTTCTTTGTGATGAATGTACATGAACATTTCCACTTTTTGAAAACCCTTTTGAAATCTTAGTCAAATCTTAAAGTACAAATATCTGTTTCTGAAAACTATTTTTTTTCTTAGTTTTCAGAATTTAGACAGAATCTGAAAAGTGTTTTTGAAACTCTTAGAAAACTAAGAAAAAGGAAAAAGGAAAAACGTGATCAACTGAATTTTACTGAGTTGGAGAATTTGTTTGAAACTTGTTGCAGATCCAAGTTAAAGAGAACTGAATCTTTGTGGCACAGAAAAAGTTTTGAAGATGGATCCTGAAGATAGTTTGTGTAGCTCTGAAGTTTGGACAAAATCTTCATCTTTCTCTAATATTAGTACCCAGCAACCTGCACAGAAATGGGTAGATACTTCCATTTTAGACTATGCTATGGATCAACCTTTCCAAGAATTCGATGAACCGACCGAGTCGAAGACTTCTCTAACCTGTAACCCAACTCAGCAGATTGATATCCCGGATAAAGATAGTGATCAGATAAATGCAGCACTTCTAGCCAGTAAAATTCAAGATTGGGACCCGAGAGTGATGCTAAATAATCTTTCTTTCCTTGAGCAGAAGATTCATCAGCTTCAGGAACTCGTGCACTTGATCGTTGGCCGGAGGAGTCAAGCTTTGGCGAGGCCCGATGAACTAGTGGTTCAGCAACAGCAGCTGATAACAGCAGATCTAACTTCAATTATTGTTCAGCTAATCTCAACAGCAGGGAGTCTTCTGCCTTCAGTAAAGCATAACTTGTCTGCAGCTGTTCCTCCAGTTGGGCAGCTGGAGCAGCTCGACAGGGTTCTTTTCGCGTCCGGAGCCGGGTCTAGTGGTGTTGTTCAGTCACAACATGATGATGGAACTAAATTCCCTGAGCTCCCAACCCAAATCGACGAAAGTAGCAAGTGCGGAAAGGAACAGAACATGACCATGGAAGAGCATGAATTGAAGGATGAAGAAGATGTGGATGAAAGCGAGAACCTCCCGCCCGGTTCGTACGAAATACTACAGCTAGAGAAAGAAGAGATCCTTGCACCACACACCCACTTTTGCGCAATTTGCGGAAAAGGGTTCAAGAGGGATGCAAATTTACGAATGCACATGAGGGGCCACGGCGACGAGTACAAAACTGCAGCTGCTCTTGCAAAGCCAAACAAAGAACCGAGTACCGAAACTGTGCTGATCAAGAGGTATTCCTGCCCCTTCACCGGGTGCAAACGGAACAAGGATCATAAGAAGTTCCAGCCTCTGAAAACTATTCTGTGTGTTAAAAACCATTACAAGAGAACTCACTGTGACAAAAGCTTCACTTGCAGCAAATGCAACTCCAAGAAATTCTCAGTAATTGCTGATCTCAAAACACATGAGAAGCACTGTGGGAAAGATAAATGGCTCTGTTCTTGTGGGACAACTTTCTCTAGGAAAGACAAGCTTTTTGGACATATTGCTCTCTTCCAAGGCCACACTCCTGCAATTCCGCTCGACGAGTCAAAGGGAACGGTCGGGCCGTGCGATCGAGGAGAACGCTACGAAGCGATGAATAAGCACGGGAGTATAAATTTCAGTTTTGGGTCGGGTGGAAGCTCAGTTGAAAACATTGCAGATGCAAAAGGTGTTGATGATCCTCTTGGTTATTTCTCGCCTCTGAACTTTGATTCGTGTAATTTCGGTGGCTTTCACGAGTTTCCTCGACCGCCATTTGAGAACACAGAGAATGCGTTTTCGTTTCTTATCCCGGCATCTAGCAATTACAACCAAAAATCTGGTGCAGAGTCGAGCTCTAATAACCTTGAATGAAAGATGTTTATTCAGTCTCTTGGCTTTCTGTAAAATTGCAATATAATGTACTTTGTTAACTTCTTCAGCTCCTAAGTGAATTATTTTGCTCAACTGCTCATGTCTCCATTATTTTCATTGTGCCATAATAAGAAAATATTGTTTAAATATTCATTATATCATGTGTAAATACGAGTCCATTTATTCTTGTATTTTCAACTTTCATTCCACACAAATTCTGTGCCCAACAAAAATCTTGTGATGAAAAGTCATGACTATATTTTTAAAAAATAAAATATATTGAGTATGATGCATCATGAAATTGTATAAAAATAAAAATAAAAAAGAACCAAAATGGTGTAACTTTTTTTAAAATATTGCTGGAAAAATACCTAATTGAAAATGGACAAAAGTTAAAAATACGCCAACAATAATCGACCAAAATTAATATTATTTAGACCTATCCAAATATTATTATTATAATTATATAACCTTTTGTTCTTAAACTTTCATTTGTATTTATTTAAGCTTTTCTTAAAACTTTCCACTCGTTTTATTTTTGTACCTCATTTTTGGTTGTTTTGTTTTAGTCATTCAAATTTCACATGTTCTGATTTATTCAATAAGTTTTTTTGGTAAAAAAAAATTTTTAGTCATTATTGTTGATTTTTCGTTAGTTATTTAATATAAATTTGTTTACATAGACACCTACTTTTATACCGACTAAAAATAAAAATGATTTTTATGAAAAACTCAAGAACTAAAGAAATTTTGGAAGTTGGATCAAAATATAAAGTCTCTAGTTCACAAATATTTGATAGTATTCACCACATTCACATTTGTTAAACATGTTCAATGTATATAAGTAAAACATACCGACTCAAATAAAAATAAGTGGTTGAAGCATTAATAACTTTTATTCAAATTTGTATTGAAAAAAAAAACTTTTATTCAAACTTGTTGGTTCGATGATTTTAATTACATATATATTTTTCTCAAACAAGAAACACACTTAATGATATAGTCATAATTAGTCCAGAGCTCTAACAGTCGACTTAATTACATCAACAAAGAGGAGGATCGAGAGGAGGTGTCCTATAAAAACACGAAGCTCCATGGGACTTATAAGTAAACTTTGACAATTTTGAATAACCAAGAAGATCCAACAAGATCCAAAGGAAAATGGAGCTTGAAGATGAACCAAGAAAACAACAATGCCTAAAGGATTTGGCAACCACAAGTTCATGGCCTCCAAACCGCGCACCAAATGTGGCCGCTAGCCTCACAGCACGCCTTGTATCATGATCATACATTTTTCGACCGCGTGGCACCATGATCTAAGCTCGATCATGGTCAATTACCTTAAAGGAAAATCTAATCCCGACATATTTTCACGTCCTTTGTGGCTTCGTCGGACCTTTGGCGAGGTTCTTTATTCCTCGACTGAACTTCATTGAATTCAAAACTTTGCTTGTCTCAACAATGCACGGCAGATACGTGTATTTTAACTCTTTTGTGACTCTAACCAATTTGCCTCTACTGTCAAGCCTCTCGGCTCAACCTTGCCTCTAAACTAAGCCAAGGTCCTCCAAACTCGATGTCACAACTCAATTCCAACCATCTTGCTTCTCGACCATTCAGTCGTCCCGCTTCTAACTGAGCCGAGGATTTATCCGGATGAGTTTTGCTACTTACCAGGCTAAGACTAGCTTTTTCTCACTTACTCGGTGCCCATCGGTAATTTAAGATGCCACCCTAAGCCTTCGGATGTCAATGGGCTTCGCTGCTCGCTCAGGCATGCTTACCGATAACCAACCTATGAGTTTATACTTATGATCGAGGCCTTCCAATCATCCATCCATTCGAACACTATCGAGGCATGACGACTCTCATGCCAATACCATCTCATTTGAGCATACCATCTCGCACAACAACCTTATGGTACAACCTTCGACCCATGGGATGAGGCGTAATGTTAGCACACTCGTGCCACTTGACACTGTCCTTGAAATTCCCATTTTTTAGCAAGACACCCAAGACCTTAGTCTTGCAATGTTCGCCCATGCCATGATACACGTATGTGCCATAGGGTAACTCACTTAGGCCACAGGGCCCAAGGCTCATGGGTGGTGGAGAGTTGATACCATGCCTCCCCCTATGGGTACATTCTCAGGCAATCTTCATTTGGCAGACTTGTACGTACAAAGTGACGAGGAGTCATTCACCAGCGTAGAACTCATGTTCGAACTCCGACTGACGCAAAACTTGGCATGCTTGCATATCCCACTAATAGCATCTAACTTTAAAGCCGCTTGTCCAAACTTTCGACGAAGTCCTAACTTTTGAGGCATGGCTTGAGGCCTCAACTAGTCTCACAAAGCTTGTCACTAACATCACAGATGCTATCATCACTTCCAATCTTGTTTGCGCCTTAGCTAGGCTTTCTTACGGACATCCTCTTGGTGTGTTGTGAGATGTACCATCCTTCTTGGTCTCATCACAACACTTCTTTCTCGACCTTCAGTATCGTCTGATGATCGACACGTGTATCGCCACCACTTGTCCACTTTGTGGGGAGTCACAACCTACTCTCTTTTAGTATGGTTGTGACATCCCCACTTAAATTGCCATCATTCTCAATGATATACTCGTGTCGTGGGGTTCAATCTGAACATGGCAGTTCGATTGTAACACGAACCCACTTAAACTCGGCATTGTTCCGATGACGACCCGGAACTTGGACTGTTGCTAATTGACCCATTGAAAAACACTTGTGCATCATAACAAGTATGGAAATGCATACTAACAATGAGCTATCCTACCCATAAACCTTCTTGCAACCAACTTTAGGACTTGGCCTCATATCCGTAACATCGTCACGGCAAATGCACAATGCCTGTGGGCTATCCCACTCGTGGACTTTCACGCACCGAACTTTAGGACTTGGCCTGAGAGTCACCTCATAGAACATGGAAACGGCTTTACATCCTCTTAACTTAGCTACACAGACAAACATCCCCCACCACACGTGCAAACCTGCCCAACAACACAATTGGTGAACTTCAGTCCTATTACACACATAATGTGCACCCCTCTTAGGTGAGGCTCGCCAAGCCTACCACTGAACGACTTACAGTGGTACCAACCAAACCAAAGCAAGATACAATAGCTTCTCACACAGTCCACTCAACTGTTGGGGCTCTCCTTTGGCCAACTCTCTCACTCATGCCACCTGTTGTAGCAAACACGTTAATGCCACCTGTTATGGCAAATATGCTACAACGACGTGTTGGGATAATGGAGCCAAAACAGGAAACCCATGTCCTATGAAGAAAAGAAATATAATTTTGTTTTTCATATAAGGATTAGGATATTTGGCCTCCTATAAATAGAGCATTTTTGTTTAGGTTTTGTTTATGTGTTGTTGCACATCAAAGTGGCGGCTGAATGTGTAGGTGCACGAATTTTCAGAGGGCAACGACAGTGGTATTTGGCAGAGTTGCAGAGGTGATATCCCAGGGTTGTAAAGCGTCATCGGCAACCTATTCTCGTGGGTATTTGGTGAGGTTTTTCATTCCTGTTTCCTAGAATTCTATTGTTGTAGTTCCCAGAAGGTAGGTGACTTTTGTCGAGACTTCTAGATTTGAGAGATTATTGTATTTGCCTATTGTATTATCTCAAAATCATTGTAGAACCCGTTGTCGCAGAAGACTGGACGTAACTCATAGTTTGGGTGAACCAATATAAATCTCTTATGTCTTTTACTGAGATTTCCCCATATTTCTTTTATTATGTGATTGACTTAGTTTTCACTGAAGAATTGTGGAATGGGAAAATATTCTTTATAAGTAATTTTCCCAACACGATGCTTCTCGGTCTGCAACTTTCCACGCAAACAATCTTGCCAGGATGACGCTCCTTTACTCGAGCAAACATTGGCCTCTGCAACATCTCTACGTCGACGTTGTCTTCTTTAAGCTTGTCATACAACCCAGCCTATTCTCTTGAGCACACCTACAGGCGTATTACCCTAAAATATATCAACTTAAGGGACATACGTGCTCATGTCTCGAGCATGAATTAGGGGCAAACACTTATTCTCTCGTGTTACTTCCCTTCTCTAAACTGGCTCTCAACTTAGCTAAACTGTCCACCACCTGTGGACTTGCTTGATGTGTCTCTTGAACTTGATCGATTCATATCTCATTGATCCCCCAGCTTTTCTGCAGCATCCACTGGCATTATCCCTTTGACGGTAATGATTCTTTCGAAGACACCCTACTTGGTTCACCTTCGGATCAACTCTTACCCAATAGAACACCAAGGCACTCAAAAAATGAGCTTGGTTCTTGCTTTCTGGATGGGTTGGACTCTCCCCTATCGAATGTCAAATAGAAGGCACTATTGAGTCACAAGGAGTCTGGCTTCACCCACTCTATCTTACCTCTAATACTGACTGACACAGCTAGCCTGCCAAATTGCCACTCTTGACGCACTTGCAAAGTCTTCACTTCTGCATTTCGGTTGTCTATTTGTCCGACTTGATGCACAAAGTGTGGCTTTGATACCAAATCCACACTTCATTGTCAACATACTTTTTTCGACACCGCAGCGCCATGATCTAAGATCGATCATGGCTAGCCTTAAGAGGAACTTTAGCCCCAACATACTTTTCGAGCCCTTTGTGGCTTCTTCGAACCTTAGGCGAGGTTCTTTCTTCTTCTACTGAGCTTCATTGCATGCGAAACTTTGATTGTCTCAGCAATGCATGTCACTTGTACGTGCATTTCAACTCTTTCGCGACTCTAACCGACTTGCCTCTACTTTAAGTCAAGCCCCACACAGCTCAACCTTGCATCTATACTAGGCTAAGGTCCTCCAAAATCGATGTCGCAACTAAGTTCCAACAATCTTAGTTCTCGACCATTTAGTCGTCCCGCTTCTACACTGAGCCGAGACCTTATTAGGATGCATCTTGCTGCTTACTAGGCCAATAATAGCTTTTTCTTACTTATCGAGTGCCCATCAATACTTTAGGATGCCACCTCGAGCCTCGGGGCATTATTGGGCTTTGCTACTCGCTCGGGCATGCTTATCGAGAACTAACTCATGGGTTCGTACTTATGATTAGGGTCTTTCGAACATGCATTTATCCATACACTGTCGAGGCTCGACGACTCTCGCGCTAATTCAATTTCACTTGAGCATATCATCCCGCACAACGACCCTATGGCGCAACCTTCGACCTATGGGACAAGGCGCAATGTCGGCACACCCGTGCCGCCCGACACTGTCCTTGAGATTCCCATTTTTGAAGGAATACGCCCAAGACTTCTAGAATACTAATCTTCTTTGAATTATACGAAGCCGATAAGCAAACAACAGATCTAGGGGTATTTAAACTCAGGTATTCGGGAAATAGTAGAATATTTTATGGAAGAAGGGAAAAATCTGTTTTAACAGCCTATTATAATAGGAAAGTCTTATATCTTGAAATTAATTCATCAACTTGATGTTAAATTACACATACGTTCCACCTTATGAAAATGAAATTTTAATAATTAAAATGAAGAAAAAAATAAACAAAGTTTTCTTATTTGAAACGCTCGTAATCTCCAACTAAGTTTGTACTTCAATTTAATTAAATGCTATAGCTTGTTTCCAATTTTATAATCTCTAGTCGAATGGTCTGTTCTCACCGGTCGAAATAGGCAGGGAAATTCCTTCCCTTAGAACCATACTTTGAGAGGCGGCATTCAATCCCACATGGAAAAGAGAGTTACTGTTTAACTTCTTTTTCAATCTATAAGAAGCCATTTCTCTCATATTTGCAAGCAAAAATAGAAGCAAGTTTGGGATAATTTTGGAGGTTTGTTATGAATATTGACACAATTTTGCAAAATCTACTGAAAGTGTGTTTGGATTAGCTAAAAGTCGAACCAATATGTTTTATTCCACTTTGAAGCACCACCGGCACCGGTGATGATTTTGGACGGCGAACAGTTTTTCTTTTTTTCTTTTTAAATCGAGAGTGTTTGGTAAAAAAAAAAACCACTTTTCTAATAATCAAATTGGTTTATAGCCATTTTTTAAAAACCACTTTAAAATTGATTATCCAAAAAGTGATAGATCAAAAATCATTTTAGAATCGGTTTATGATAATTTAACATTCGTAGAGTCACTTTTACCTGACAATACAGCTAAATAAACTTGTCAAAGAAAATATAACCAAACGCACCATTATTTTAATTCAAACCATTTTGTAGACAGTGTTTTAAGGAAAAATATATATCTTTAAAGTGCTTAAATTAGAAGTTCACAAGTTTGCAAGAATCTGCAAAACGGCTCTTCATTTTTTAAGTAATCCAAACGGGTCCAAAGAACCAAATAGAATTTGGTATTACAAAAGAAAACAGAAATCTCTTATCCAAAATACAGGCAGGCTACATTATCTGAGCATTCCATAATGGGAATTGTGAAGCAAAATGAGCTTCAGACCCTTTGCCCCCTCAGCCGTCCCTTTCAACGACCATGACGAGCATCGATCGTACCGTTCCCTCAAGACGACATCATCGGGGCAAGACCAGGTAAGGCCTCTGGGAGAACTGTCAGCCCACAAGAACCTCTCTGAAAATGGATTCACCAGACTCTCCCTGAATTCTTTGGCTGTTTCACAAATTAATCCCTATAGAACAAAAATGGCCATGATTGGGAGAAAGTTGTATGAAACGATCAATGATTTGAGTATAGTGCTTCCTCTAACATGAAGCTTTCCACAAAATTCTATATTGTATCTATGAGATCGATTATAGTCCTTTCTTCCAAGCTAAACATATATGTTTGTTGTCTCTAATATTGGGGTGTTTCAAAAATTTAGTCCCTTAACGTTTTAATACTTTTCGATTCTACCTTTTCCATGTGTAGATATTAAAGGTTGCCAATGGTAAGCTTCGACATGACATGACATGATACTCAACGAGTTGGCAGAAATTTAGAAGAGGTCACCTAAGGAAAATTTTTAATTCATCCAAATTTTTAAAAAGTTGGAAGTAATTCTGTCCTTTCCTATTCTCTTCTAGATGGCATTAATTTCTCCTAAACTGAAACTTTTTACTACAAGAATTAAATCGAATAAACATTCTAACATTACGGATTAAACATATATTATGGCCTTCATTCTAATATGCAACAAACAGAAAAACTGAAGTTAAGTTCTAGTGATAGTAGTACCTCAGCCATGGCTTTAATTTTCAAGGTCACGTCGTCGCTTAAAAGAACGAGCTGTCCATGATTCACTCCCCTCCTAAAGTGCAGTGCGCATTCAAGGATATGATCTTCTGCAGTTGGTGAAAGAACTTCCATGAAACTTCTCTGGGTGATGGATTGAATTGAGCTTGCTGTCCGCCACAACAAACTCTGACTCCCTTCGGTATATGGAGATCGAGGAGTAGCAGGAGACGTCGCAGGAGGCCTGCCACCTTCATCTGAACTCTGAACATGAATCCACCACCTTGTTTGCACCATACAATCTTCAATCCATTGAAGAATCGAAGCCGCCTCCGTCGTTTTTCGGAATAGGCTACCATGTCTCCTCAAGCAGTCTAGCTCCCTTATGACTGATTCCAATAAGAAATGACTAATTTAGAAAGATTTGATAAGTAAACATAGATCAAACAAGAAAACTACGACCTCTTTTTTTTTTTAATGAAAAACCTCGCTTTTTATTGAGAAAAATTAAAGAAACTTCTCAAGCTCGTTACCCATTCTTGGAACGATCAAATGTGTCCCCTGAAGACCTTGTAAAAGTTTTAGTGACTTCATTGATTCCTTGTTCAGAAGAGAATTGATGTCCACAACCATAGTCCATCGCTTCTTTCCTTCTGTGAATTTATTCTGCTAAGACACATTTATCATACTTATATATTCTTTATAGAATCATTTGAAAGCATGTGATGAATAGTTGAGAAACTGACCTTCATGGCCCCTGTGCAAACAGATATATTACTCTTTCTAGCAGAATTAACTACAGTAACCTCCGGTCTCTTTTTTCCGGCCAAGTTCGACTGCAAAGATTGAAACGGTGCCCGTTCTCCTCCCCCTCTCTTCATCACTTTTTTATCCTTTCCAAACCTCCTATTCTTAGAGATACTTTTTGCCAGTTTCTGTTCTTGGAGAAATCTGGGAGTTTGGTTCTCTTTGTCTGATTCTTCACTTAGTTCTTCTGGTTTGATTTTTTGTCTAGACTTGAAAATTGATGATTGGGACTTGGATGGCCTGGAGGAATTCTTCACACTGTCTTCTATGTTAGCCTTCTTTTTCAATGACTTCATCAAAAGTGTGTTTGGTGTGAAATTCTCCTTGTCTGGAGTAAAGATTTCTTCTTCCTCCTCACCCAAAATTGGGAGAAGGGTATTTACTACTGTTTCATCTTCTGCTATTTCATGATTAATTTCATCCGTTAAAGACGTCCCTACTCGATTTGCTCGATTCACGCCTGTTTCGATTCGAGGAAAACTATTTGGTTTACCTCTTCTTAACCAAATGCTATCCCCCATGGCTGATACATTATCAGATCTCGGTGTCTGAAATTCTTTCTCAACTGAAATCTCCAGGGAAACATCCTCATCCGGAAGAGATGAGTTAACAAATTCCATTGAAGAAGACACAGTACCGGGCTCTGAGAGTTCCTTCTGTTCATGGTCCTTCTCCTGTACGCTTTTGGTCGGTTTGAGTGTTTCGTATCCTGCAGTATCTTTTTCTTCAACACAACATCCAACATTCTGGTTCATTGGCAAGTTTGGTATTACCTCAGGTGTAGACTTCATAGAGGTCTCATTTATGTACTGTGATTGCCAATTCAGAAGAGACTCTTTTACCTGATATGTATGATAGAAATCTCCATTTCCTTCATCTACATTAACTTCCTCAACTTCTGTTTCGATTTTGTCTAGTGTTTCCGTTTCGTGAATCCTTTCTTCTGTGCTAACTGAAGAATGATTGTATTCCAGAGGATGCAGCTCATGCTCTACCATTAACTCTTCCTTTTCTGTGATAGTTTCTACAACATTTCCAACATCGTAAATGAGAGAATTTACTTCACATATTGAAAGATTTTGGGTTTCAACATCTGAAGACAAATTCTTCCCTGAAAGAAGCACGGATTGGGGTGATTCATTTTCGAGATCAAAGTTTTGACTTTCGTGTGAAATAGGCTTTGCATCATCCGCCACAGCCTCATCGGTTAGTTCATGTCCAAGTGGTATGGTCATGATGCTACTAATTTCCTTCTGTTCAAACATGTCATTGTCTTCAACATTAGAAGAATTCTCTTTGCAAAGAGGCACGGAATGGGTTTGTGGGCTCTGGTTTTCATTGTCAAATTGTCGATATCCGTTCGCTGGAGCAGGCTTCCTATCATCAACCACAGACAGATTTTTTGATTTATTTTCCAACGGTATGGTCCAGCTTCTATCAGTTTCCTCCTGATCAAACGTATTACTTGACGAACTCTTGCTTTCACTGCTAAAGAATGAAGACATGATAATGTTTTCAACATTGAAAGACAAATTCTCTGCTGAAAGAGGCAGAGAAACGGATTGAGGGCTCTCCTTTCCATGGTGCAGCAATTGTTGATTTCCACTCGAAGAAATTCTTGATTCATTTTCCAATGGCATGGTCCATATACTCGACGTACTCTTGTTTTCACTGCCAAAGAATGAGGACATGATAATGTTTTCAACATTGAAAGACAGATTCTCTGCTGAAAGAGGCGCAAACAAACTTTTCGATTCGTTTCCGAAAGGTTTGCTCAACAAACAAGTTTCCTCCTGTGGGCATTCATTTCTCAAGTGACTCTCGCTTTCACCACCATCAACCGGAGACACAACCATGCCCTCAAATTCACCCATTGGAGGTGCTGAAGTGACCTCTTTCATCATCTCTATGCTCCAATCCTCATCAGAATACAAAGGCTCAACAATATTACCAAAAAATAAATCCTTCACAGTTTCTTTCTTTTCATCCAACAATGAGTTCTCCTTCTGCAAAACGATCTATTTAATAAGAACAAGTAAAAGATACAAATCAGATTTAATCAAATGAACTCCATTTCTTATCAATGTTAACCTTTTTCCCCCACATAAAATCTCTATTTCTATACCTTCAAACAAAAGTTCCAAACCCAAGTTCAACCACTAATTAATAACAAACCACATATGTCAAGTTAAAAAAAATTAAATCTGACAGAAACATTTTCACAAACACCTTAAGGTCAGATATTACCTCACAATTCTCCACAGCTCTTTCCTCTGCAATTGCAACTTCCTCTTCTTTCTTCTCTATTTCGAAATCATAAACACGGCTCAAAGGAACCCAATGAAGTCTGTAAATTCGGCTTGAACCACCGACTCTCAGAGTATTCCCTTCCCTCATCTCCACTCTAGCCCCTGCTTCAATCTTCTTCCCTGAAACCCATGTTCCGTGCACTACACAAGACCCAGATTCCATTAGAGGCCAAAAATTGACGAAGTCAAAAAGAAACAAAAAAAGAAAAGGGCATTACTATTCTATTACCCGATGACAAATCCACCAAACAGAGCTTTAGCGAAGAGGGATTCGAATGGATTTGGAGATGGAATCTGCTAATGCTGGGGTGTGTCAGCATTATGTTGCAATCTGGGTGTCGTCCGAGGATTATTACCTCCTCCTCGTTCCCTGGATTTGGAAAATTGTTGAGTATGAAGATGTTCTTGAGAATTGCGCCGTTCTTTAGGACGGTGAAGACCGGGATTTTCTTATCGTTGAGGTCTGGTTTGCTTTCTTCTTCTTCCCTGTCCGCCATTTTTTCTTTGGAAGAGGACACAGTTCAGTTTTCTTCGATTTTCTTGAGAAATGAGAGGGAATGGGTTTCGAATTTTGTAGTCGCCCCGTGGGAGAGAGGACAGATTGGATGTTGCTTAGTCTGTTCGTATTTTGAATATTTGAAAAAATAACCGTTGAGAAAAATTATTGAACGGCTACGAATCATTATTTCTTGTTTATATCTTTCAGCCTTCAATTGTGATGGAAAAGGTCTGCCGTTACAATTTATTAAAACAACTTGTTTCAATAATTAATTGGTTGAGTTTTTTTTTTTTTTTAAGTAGAAAAGAAAATTTTAGTCTCTCTACTGCAAGCTTTGGTTTATTTTGAACCCCTAATTTTTAAAATATTCATTTCGGTTTCTCTATTTTTAATTTTAATTCATTTTTGTTTTTATACTTCAAAAATATTCGTTTTCGTTCATGTAACTTTAAAAAATTACCATTTTTGTCTCTATTTGCAAAATTTAACACAAATTCTACACATAATGGAAACGCTCGTTATAAAGTCACAATTACATTTTAAGAAATATATTGAGTATAGTGTCATCTTGAAATTGTAATAGAAAAAATGTGATTTAAAAATTAAGGGACCAAAATAGTCACTTTTTAAGAGTATAAAGATAAAAACGAACAATTTGAAAGTAGACTAAAATGAACCAAAGTGAAAAGTACAAGGATCAAAATGAACGTTATGGACGTATAGAGATCAAAATGAACTAAAGCTTAAGGTAGAAATGATAAAAATAGTATTTTAACCAAAGAAAAATGAGAAAAATAATTATTAGGCATCCTTATATCATTTTTCCCCCTAGAAATACAACTAATAAAGCAAATTAAAGCACATAAGAGAACTTAATACACGACAACTCAAGCATATTGGACTACTCGAGCCACAAACCACTTTAACCCAATCGTATAGATGGTTTTAACCGGAAAGGCTAAGAGTTAGAGGGATTACCTTTGCAGTCGTTACCTGGAGTAGACAGATAACTCACTATGCTCAAAGCTAGAAACACTCCATGAGTTTGGTTACCAACTAAACAAACATGCTTCGAGGGTAAAATACAAAAACCTAATACTAATTCAAAACTAAAGTGTCTAATACAAGAGAGGTGCAAGCCTATTTCTAGGCTAAGGCCTTGGCCTTTAAAAGAAATTTGTTAAATAAAAATAGAACATAAAAATAAAATAAAACAAATAAATGAAAAGATATTTCCCTTAAATTGCCAACTTCCTTAACAACTATGTCAATCCTTTCCTAAAATTGAAAATACTTGCTAAAACTAATTAAAACAAATTCCACAATTGTTTTAATTCGGAGTGGAGCTGAGGGAACAAAGGACTAAGAGTCCATCGCTTAAAACAAATTAGGAATAGGGAATTTCCTAAAATGTTGAAGAGTAGTCAGCAAGGCATTTGTTTTGGCTCCAAAGTGAGGTGGCGCCCATATGAGGGTGGCGGTGTGATGCGGGCGTGGGCAGGGGAGGTGTGCAGGGGCGCTGGCACAACAGGCAGGCATGCGGGTCGCATAGCATAGGCACGCGCGTGGAGTAGGTGGGCGTGCGCTGGAATGCTGGAGGCAAGCGGGGGCGTGCGGATG